AAAGTACATAGACTTTTTAAAAGCTTCAAGTGCTATGGGAAAAAGGCAGTGAGTTTGTTATTTAGACACTTTAAAATGGCGAAACTTCGTCAATGACTATAGTTTTATTAAAACACGTCACGAGAAAGACTTGTTACTGTGAGTCCTTTGTATTCTAATGTAAAATCTCATATTCCAGTTAATATACACAGATGAAAGTGACTGCACACTAGAAGTCTGCGGGATCAAATGGTTCTGTCCCCGGTTCCGTAGAAAGAACTCGTTTTTGGTCCCGGTCCCGTGGTCCCGTAAATGTCGTTTCAAAGCAGCGCAAATAGTTTGAAAGTCAGCGGGTTGTAATATGGCGCGTGGGACAGCAGGCGTATGTGGGATTAATTGAAGACTTTTAGAATTTTGTGCGAGTTCCTTCTCGCAGAACTAGTGCCTACATACAAATAAGCATAGAAACTAAGAAATTTTGATGCTCTCTATACAAGACTATTTTCAAAGAAATCTGGTCCTGGTCCCTCGGAACTTTTAACGGGACTGGGACTATCCGGCAGGGCTGGGACCGTCCGGTAGACCTCGAAATCTTGGTCTCGTACATAAGATTTTTGTTAATCCCGATCCGGTAAAAAGTCCCGTGGGATCGGGATGGGACAGGCACCGTCGTACAGACCTCTAATCCACCGTGTAGCAAATAACGCCTTTAACATTGTAAAATATACGCTGCGATAATGCCAAGCCAATTCGGCACTATACTTTCTTTTGTTCAAACTAATGCGTACGTTAGACTTTTTCAAAAATAAATAATAACCACGATATAAATTCTGAACAAGGATATCGAGAAAACTTGACAACAGTTGTCGAAGAGATTAAAAACTTAACTAACTCAGATTATTTGAGTGCCTCGTTTAGCACATTTCGCACTAAATAAGAGTTCCATCTATCTGTTAAGGTTAATGATGATGATTCTCAGATTTTCGAAGGGTACAAACCAGGATCTGTTCTTTAAATTACAGTAATTCTGTTCGTTGGAGGAGCGAAAGTTCAGTAGCTCCATCATTTCTTTTCTAGTACCAAGGTGAAAAGTTCGAAATTTTGCTTTTTTTGGTAAGTTTTAGTAAAATCGCCTTTTGCGCCAGAAAAGCACATTCAAACAAACCCCCCTATACATCGAATGAAGGCAACACGTCGGAGCACCAGAGCATACATTTTGATTCCACTTTTATGCACGGCGTCATGCTCAAAATAAATATTTTCTCGGTGTTCTGTGCTAGAAAGTAATGAAGAGTGAAGCCGCGCAGTATTTCGTCTATATTCTTTTATTTTTATGATACATAAAATAAATTCTTGCAGAGAATGAAACAGTCACTTTTTTCAAACAAACTTCAAGCCTACTTGATCAAAAATAAAAGTGTTATTTGAGAAATACTCAGAAGGGCTATTTATCCTGCCGCACCCGTTACATCAATGGTTAGACGAATTACTTTATTAATTAAAAGTGACGGGCAACACCGATGTCACGATGTTATATAGTTTCTAAATGCAAATAGTTCAGTATTGAGCATACATTAGCTCACAAGAAACTCCTGTATATAAGAAAGTGTATTTGACAGTGTGGAAAGTTACACGTGTGGCTCGTAGTATATTGTTCTTGACATCTACGGACGATTCGATTAGTTGAATTATCGCATTGATTTATCGGTAGAGCAGCCTTACAAAAATTTATAATGCGATTACGAATGTAACTTCGCGCACTTCTTTGCGGAGTTATTGTAAATGACGTTAAGAAAACTGTCAATTTTTCAACTGCTGTGGTTTCTTCTATAACAGACCTAGAGAAATGGCCGCTTCATCATTCGTCCCCTTTCGTGCTAATTCAGTACTTCGACATTATGGCGATGATGACTCAAGTAATAAATCCTACGTGATCGGCTCATTGGAAACAATCAAAAAAGCAATGAATGTGAAATCATTAAATGAAATGCTGAAATGTATTAAAAATATGAGAATTTATTCGAGTACAGTTGAAAAAGATATACGCAATTATGATGATATCATCTATTTGAACAATGTTAATATAAAATATGATGAATTAATGGGACGTTATCAATCAACAAATTTAATTCAAATTGGAAAACAGCGTTTAAAAGATGATCGATATGTCCTACTGAATGATGTTATTAAACAACAAAAGGAAACAGAAAGACAGCTCTACCAACAACAGCGATTACAACAAAAGAATATCAGGGTTCGTAGTGAGTTATCTGATTGAGAAAATTTTTTTAGATACACTACATCGAAAATGCAATGTTAGAAATATGAATTTCAGGCTCAGTTTTCATTTTCAATAACTATTTTAAAGCTCATAGCTTTCTTTTCCGTCATTAAGAAATCGAGCGGTGCATCTCGTTTAATTACCTATGCACATGATACATTTCCTCAAACACAACAAAAACAAAATGACGAAGTTTTATATATTAAACGTGTTATCGCTGCTCAGCCGTCAGCATTACAAGCCATTTATTTAGAAGCATTAGTTGATCCCCATTGGTGGGAAAAAGATCAAATATTATTGAATTCATCACCCATTAATGAGCAACTTTCGTCATCAGAAAGACAACGACTAAATGATATTTTATCTCGATTTGAGTAACGGTACATGATGAAGTTTATTATATGTTTGAAAATATGATATAAAATTGAATTTCAATCATCAAAAAATATATCACAAGTATCAGTTTATGCTATTGTTGTCTGCAAAATATTCATATATATATATTAGAGAACTGCACGTCATTGTTCATGCATAATAGGTGTTCATCTTTGAGGACTTTGTCTAGGAGATCATGATAGTTCATTTGCTGATTAAAATTGAAAATAAAACATACAAGTGTCAATGTGCTGAAAGTGCGAAAATCATGTTTTATTTGATTTTTGCTTTTAAAATTTTTTTTGGAAAAATTTTAGCATCTGTCAAAATGAAGTTGTTTGTAGGAAACACCTATAATGATGATAGTCTGACAAATTGAATAACTGAAGTCTTTTGTGTCGTTTTTCTCATTATCGTACACCATTATCAAATAGAGAGAGACCATGATGATCAAACGAACTACATCCGAATAAGAAACTGTTCTGTTCATACCTTTCCTTAGCATCTCACATACACTAAATTAATTGAAAAAGCTTGAAGAGAATAAGAAATAAATTATTATAGGTGATATAATTCATTATTACCACGGCACATTTGATGTTGATTTGATTCAAGAGAAGTCAATTTCATCACTGTTTACAGAAATAAGGCCGTAAGTAGTTGTCAGTATATATATATGTGATGACGGGGTCTATTCTTATGATGCAGCTGAAAATATTGCATAGTAATTTCAGTATTATAAGCAACGCGAGACTGCTAAGTTTGTTTTTAACTAAAGCTTGGTCTATCATTTGACAGAGAGACACAATTCTTCCGTTATGCAAGGAAACTACAGATGCTAATTGAATTGTTGACTCGAAACCATTATTGCTTCATCAAAAAGATATCGTTTCATAATATTTTGATCATTTTAATAGCCAAAGGCATTTATAAAACGAGAGTTAATTCGGAGAGAGAGAAAATGAAAAAAGGAAGTGTCTAACGCAAATTAATTATATTATGCCATAAACAAGTTTTTAATCGTCTTGAGAGTGACCTGTCGCGCATCTTCCATAGTGAAGTCAAGGAAGAATATCAAGTTTTGATCATTACATTCGTTTTTTAAAGAAGTAAGAACGGGTTCTTCATTTGTTCTATAAAAGAAGATTTCTTGAGCAGAAATTTCGAGAATTCAACGTGAGACACTACAGAATATGAATTCTTCTGTAAAGCTCATTTTTTCTACTTCTTCGTTTCAGTTCGTTGAGAAATTTTTTTTTTCTACTGTTAATAATGTAAAAACTCAAATTGAGTTTATCGGTATTTGAGTGTCCTATATGAAATATAAGATTTTCTGATAAACTCAAATTTTCTAGTTTTTCCTCGACAAAGATAAACAAGCGTATTGGGACGTATAATTAAGTACAATCAACAAGAAAAATCAAAAAATATTACGAAGTGAATTAAGAAAAGAACTATGCAAAACTTTACAGTTAGTTTCAGATTTAATAGTTTTAAATAAACCAGTGCAAACTGGTTCATCGCAAAAGGATACGACGCTTCTCAAAAGTTTTCTAGAGTGGGATGCAAAAACATTTATCGAAGTGAGACTTATTCAAGAGTGCCGCCTACACTTTTTGAATCTAAATGTTGTCCTATAGTCCTGTCAATAGGAACGTACTGAAAGAGAAAGTAAAAGTATAGGTTTCTATCTAAAACTAAATATTTTTTCATTAATTATTCTTAGCTTCACATAAAAACAAAAAACTTAGAATTCAATATTTGATGAAAAACTCAGTTTAAATTTTCGATGTTTTAGAAAATTTATTCCTGTTCATAGGAAAAGTTCTTTAAAAACTTTGAGATCTAAAATTTTTCACAGTGTAGTATAACGCATTGTGCAAAGTTCTACGAACTATCAGTTTTCATCTCATACAAATAAGGAATTGGGGTTACTATCACTGTCGACAAGTGTCAGTTGATATTTTAAAATATGATATTATTTTCTGATGAATAGATCTATCAATCTTCGTATTCAAACGAATAAAAAAAGTTACAAACATTTTCGTCTTCTCTATTAGGAACAATTAGAGAGATCCCGTGGCGATTGAATATAAAAACGATGATGATATACACGGATGATGTCCTTAAGGTTTTCAAAAATTATTATTATCGATTACATTTCACGTGTATAAGTAATTGATTACGCGATGGGAGAGACATATAAAAACTTGAAGTATATCGTCATTTTTTTTTGTTCTTCAAAAATTCGTTACATAATACAAATCGATATTAGAACATCATTTTAATGATGTGCTCAGATACGACTATTCGTACCCGTCTCGATCCGTATTTTAAATTTATATCTGTATCCGATCACAATATTTACAATTCCAATTTGTCGAACAATACATTTGAAGAAAACAGACGTCTGTTCATTTTTCGAATATGAATCACTATGCATGAAAAGAAATAAAATCAATATGTGCGAAGAAGAGATTCGTGTTTTAGAAACACATAAAACAAAATAGAAGCTCTGTAGGTGGTATCATATTCGAACGATCGACAACGTTTTAACATTCCAATTTTGTCTATTGTTCTTGACCACTTGTATTCATCGTATTATCAATTGAAGAAACTACCTCAAAATATATAGAGCAAAATATGCTCGGTGAATAGGAATAACAATTCTGAAATGTTAAAGACTTTATAGAAAAAGTCACAATATATTTCAGAAAACATAATCTCATAAGTTCAAAACAGCATTAAGACGTTTCTAATTGTGAGAAGCAAATTTAAAACTAAATTTTTATAAAAGTTCTTGTCAAAAATCTTTTTACAAGAGGTAGACGAAACCAGTTCGGTTGTTCAAAAAATGAAAGAGCAACGTTATGGTTTTTTTCTCTTCAAAACGGGAGCGAAACGAGACCTTGACTTTTAGTAATTCAGAAGAGGCGCTGGATTTCCGAAGAATCACGTTCGCATAAATTTAACCAAAGGTAAAAAGGCATGCCACATATCTGATCAACCACTCCACATCTGATGGCGATGTTTTTCCCATGTAAAAATTCGAAAACCTGAAGTTTTACTTAAAAAATTATTGATGTTTGGTTTTACGCACGTGACAATAAAAAATGTATAACTTATTCAATATAAATTAAACGATTCAAAAATTTGAGGATACAATCAGTTTCAGTTGTTCCTTAACACCTCTTTTTAAAAAAGAATTATGAATGTTCCAATAAAAAAGGCTGGTTTTATATTAAAGATTTCTAGAAAAATGTAGAACAAAGAAGGTTTTTTGTAGCATAATCATGTTGGGCATCAAACGTTGATCATATCATCTCCTAAATTACTAAAAGGCAAGGTCTCGCTTCGCTCTCATTTTTAGGAAAAAGAAAACAAAACATTGCTCTTTCATTTTTTGAACAACCGAACTAGTTTTATCTACTCACTTGGGCTTTTATAAAAATTTAGTTTTAGATCTGCTCTACAAAAACTCTTTATCTCATTTCATTCTCGAGTTATTTAAGAAACATGCGCATCCATTCTATTATGAAATGACTAGTAGGTAATTTCGTTTGATACTCAGATTATTCTAAAAACTACAGAAAATTTATTTGTGTGCAGAAAAATCTTTTCAAAAACTCTATTAGTGTTCTCGTTGTGTAAAATGAAGAGTCGAGAATATATTTAACTACTTCATAACGATGAGAATTTATTTTACATCGAACAATAGTGTCTCACTAATCACGGAAGACACTTTCGTACTTTAAGGAAGCTCTTCTCTATCTTGATTAATATAACCTCAATTAGATCTAAACTACGCTGTTCATCATGAATATAGGAAGTAAACACGGCAGGATACGATTACAAATAAATAGCCATAACGAAGAGTAAGAGAGAAATAGAGAATTTTTCATGAATAGTAAGAAAATATTCTATTTCAAAACCAACGGTCGCTGTGAATCTACTATACGGCGCATCGAATACATTTTTTTCGCCTGTGAAACGCACGATAGTCGTCATCATTTTCTGCTAAAAAAATGGGAGAGGCAAGAGAGAAATTTTATTTAGATGAAAATATCATTTACGCAGAAAGAATGTCGTAAAAGTGTCTTAATTGGATGAGAGAAACTTTTTCTTTCGAAGCGTGCCTTATCTTTTGAACTTCTTACAAGTTAAGTCTATACCTAATCGGTTCTGGTTTTGGATCTTTTTGTATTTTTTGCCATTATTATCAAATCAGAAGACGACGTTTTATTTTAGACGAGCGTTGGTTATTCTACATTGTCACCTGGATAAGAAATAAAGAATAAATTATGTGTTACTGCTTGAAATATGTGTGCTTATCATTCTTGAACATTAATGATGTCATCTCATTACAGTTGTTTTCATTTCACACGACATTCGGGACTTTTTTTTAAGTTACTTTGATATATATATTCATATATGTATGAAAAGAGAGGGGAATTTTGTTTTTATCATTCTGTTTCAACTGTTCATAACAGTATGATTGGTTCCTTTTCATAATTTTATGTCAACTTGTTCTGTTCAAATAAAGATTTAATAAACTCTCTAAAAAGAAGAGAAAAGTTTTATTAGAGTCAGTCGCACTTGGTTTCCAGTTGTGTGAACTATGTTGTCGATTTTCGATTTTGCTTAGGAGAAAATATTAGAAAGGAAGGCGAAGACTGACAATACTCTTTTTCTTGTCGCATAAATAAAACATTTGTGTTGCAGAAGTCTAAAAAGAAAATAACAGATTTTTCTCACCTGATTTGATAATTGATACGACTACATCTAAATTTCGTCCCATTTCACACATCTATAAATTTCTTTTTCTGTTTTGTGTGAGATCAGCAATGTGTAAAGTTTGTCGCATTTCTTTTCCTCTTCATAAACACATCACAGATTAAAATAATATAATCTGCGTATATTTATGCACTTCCTATTGTTGACAATAATAGAGAGAAAAAGTCTTACAGAAATAAAACAAGTTGTTTTCAAACTTGTGGACATCT